TGAGAACAGGAATACATTTATCTAAATGCCTGAAAACTAACACTTATCTGACACAACCAACACACCACACTGCCTCTAAAGACTTTTTTTGCAACTATAATGGACATTAATTGATTCACACCCTACAGCATATTTCCACCTCCTACCTAAGCTATTTTTAACCATTCCTCCTAGAAACACCTGGAGGTCTATGAACCAGAGAGCCCATTCTTGTGGTTCTTTGCATTAAAGCTTATGAGTATTCATGAGCAGGAGTAGGCAGTGCTCTCCAATGGGACTGAAGTCTGTGATCAACAGCAACTGTCTGTCAGTCATTGTCAGTGTAAGCTGAGAGCTCAGGGGACATCGTTAGGTTTCCATTACAACACAAGACTTGCATTCAAGACCCCAATGACTCATCTCATATGAGCCAAAGCATATGGAGAACGAACAGAAAGGGCTACAACTGGAATGCCACAGATGGCTGTGACAGATGTTGAAAGTCAGTTTTCATTTCATCTCTGACAAATTCATGCAGCAACTTCCGTTTTCAAGTTTGGGGGTAAAAAGAATCATAAATATTCCCCTCTGGTTCCCAAACTTATCAGTGACACAGAGTGCTCCATTTACTGCTCAAACTGAATATATGACAAGTTAGAATAAAACTACGGATTCTATTAAAACAGATTGTAAATACAGCATTGATAATCTGTAGTCAAATTACATTTAACAATTAGTGGGGCCTTTCTAATCACAGAATTTGATACTAAAACTTGATTCAACTTTAAAACATGGAATATTGTAGAAGTTGCCAAAATGTGGATGCAACTACTTAAAAAATATCAGGGTTTTCCCTAACCCTTAAAAGCATTTTTTCTCAGCGCCTAAGCCAGATAAACAGAAGAAAAACGATGCTACTATGTCTTGGTGTCATTTATGAGCATGCTGCTTCTGTCCTCTGTGTCATTTCACCGAGGGCTGAGCTCATCTCCACACAAACACTGGATGTAAAAAGTTAGGTCGGGACAGTAAATACAATCAGCCAGCTGATTGGGCTCGTCTACTCTATTCTCTGAGACTTCGCTCTGCTACTCTGTGCGTGTCTGACTTACGTATCGACTGGTTTGACAACGAGATGCGAGTAACACTAGCTTTAACACAGTCTTTTGCTTGGTCAGCCAAAAAAGGTCCAATTCTCCTGTGCTTCTAGGGTGATGAAGAGAAAGTGTCTGATGTTTCCACATCAAGCTAGCCATCACTCTCCTCTCCATAGTCAAAGGACCTGTAAATGCATTGAAACTGGCCAGGAAACACATACAACTATATGAAGCTTTTCAAAATAAGGCATGAACACAGTGTAAATACTCACATGAAAATAAGATTAACTGGATTGTATTTACAGGAAGTGTAAAACATGTTACCTGCGTCACTTATGAAATAAGATATCACACTAAATTCTAAGGGAAGTTAATTTATTCTGTTTGGTTGCTGAGAAACCAAATCCTGACAATGAACGTTATTTTTGGACACTGCAGTCATGAGGAAGAGGCCCTCAGAGAAAGCTAAGTTTAGGCTATATTTGAATCAAAGCAATATAACACTCAGATGGGAAGCACTTTATTTTACAAAACGATCTGAATATTTGAAATGGATTTCATAGGGCCGTACAATAGCCAAAATAATATTTTCTCTAAAAGACCTCATTTTTATCGTTAGTTTGCCACTCAACTAACAGAACAATTAAATCAGAGTACAGTACGGTAAAGATTGAGTCATCAACTTTAATCCTTTATCCGTCATAGTAGCATATGTGCAAAAGACACTCGTTCTATATGCCCCAGGTGGGCTTTTGTCAGGCTTCAAACATTTGAGAGTAAGAGAGTGTAAGAGAGATATAAAGGGAACTACAGAGGTAACATAAGTCATACTAAGCTGAACACAAAGTAGCAGCATGCGTTTAGTTTCAATAGTGGTTTGAGAATCACTCCGTTAAAGTAACATAATGCTTCTTACAGAGGTACATAGAGTGTGTCTACAGGTATCAGACACTTAAACTCAATGCTTCTTAGGACTGTATCAAAATCATTTTTAAACCAACTTTAAGACTGATTTTTGGACAAATCATCTTTTTCTTATTCAACCCTTGCAGGTAAGTTTAAAGGTAAGTAGTATATATATATATGTGTTGTCCCATGCATAAGTAGGTTTTATGTAGTAATATGATTATTAGAGTAAGTTAGTAATCTACATTCTGCCAACAGATAAGTGCAAGTATAAAGTAAAAAGGCGTTCAGTGGTAGTTTTAACGATTTGTAACATCAGACATGAACTTTCACAAAGAACAGCTTGAATCATTTTAACAAAAACAAATTAAAAGATGGATAAATTAAATTAGATAAAATGTTTGTGGCAATTAAGACTTAACTAAATCAAATTCAAAAACATTTAACGACTTCTAAAGCCTTAGATCTACAAAATTGAATTTAAGACACCTTAAAACTTGTTAAAAATCTGCAAACACCCTGACAAATAAGCCAGAATTCACTGCATGTACTGCTGGCACATTATTCAGTCTAAAAAGTCAAGTTGATATATGACAAAAACAGGAACTCTGCAGAGGCAAACTGGAAAAATGGCCACAAACCACAAACAGTCTAAAAAATGAATCCACATCTGACAACAAAAGACCACACATTATGAGTTTCATCAATTTGCAGTTACTTTGTTTGAAGTTTTGTCCGCCAGCTGTATGTTTGTGGATGTACAGCAATACTGAGAGTTCAGCTTAGCTGTGAGGTGAAAAAAAAAGGGCAGACCATGTTGTGATATACTGGATGTGATGCTACCAGGAGGAAAATGAGATCAGAATACAGAACACTATCGAATTACGAGACAGGAATGAAAAGTGAGCGAAGGTACAAACTGCCAATGTTTGGGGTATTAAAATCTTGATGCTAGTCTCGTTAAGTTTTGGATGTCCTTTGCTACTGTATTGTTTTAAACAGCTCTGAAGTTGTTTTAAAGTGCCAATTAAAGATTTTTCAAGATAAGAAATGTATACATAGTCCTATTACAAATGTTATTCATACTTTTGTAAACACAGTTCTGAGTTTGTGGCATATTTTATGTTCTTTTTTTAACTGATGAGGTGTTGTTGGACTGGAGGAACTTTTTAATAGTTTGTAGAACCCCCTTTTTTGTTTGAACTTGAAAGAACGATTGCAGTACCCTACATACCGACCCTAACAAGACAACTGTATGGTCACTCCTCCTCAACACAGGCAGTGCCACACTGCAGCTGCCTCTCAACAGTGTTTAGCAGTGATTCACAGCAGGACCAGGACAACATCTCACATTTCCACCAACACACCAGTCCTTATTCATCAGAAAGCACACACCTCATCTTATACTCTCACCAGAGTCCTTTGCTCTGTCAGATTGGCATACGGAAAAAGAGACATCTGGTTTAATGTCCAGGATTTAGCCAAGTTACAGTGAATGAAAAGTTGCTAAAATCACGTTGAAACTGATGCGGTACGGAGGTTGTTCAGTTTATGTTCCAACGCCTGTACAAATTCTAGCAAGATGCTACTTCAGCTGGTGCTCATTACTCTCTATGTTTTCCTTGATGTTAACATTTGAAAACCTCGACCTGGCTAGCTAGCAGCTGCCTAGATGTCGGCAGAAGGAGAGAGTTTACAGACTGGTGAGCTGACGTCCACATCCCGATGAGTGACTTTCAGCGACATGAAATCACCGTCCAAAGCCAACCACAAAAAGCACCAACAAGACTTGCACAATAGACTGAAGAGCATAAATTTAGCACAAATTTAGCAGAACTGACAGAGAGGCAACTGAAAACATCCACGCCTAGGCGTATATGTGGAAGTGGAAATACAATGCAGATTTGACAAAGTGAAAGTGCTGTTGCTATACCAACCACTGGCCGGCTTGCAGTACATCACTTCAGCCTTCCTATTGGCAGTGCGAAGGCAAAAAGAAAAACAGCCCTTGGAGGTATATAGTTCTTGGGGGAGCTCCCGAGTGGGCAGATTCTCTCTGAGAGTTCCCAGAACAGTTTGGTCCGAAAACAGCTTTTGTTGTTGCTGCCTATCTTGGTCAGGTTAAAGTTGAAAAATGTATGAAATATAGTATATAAAATATAATAAAATATCTGACAAAACAAAACAAAACAAAACAACAGAAGTATGGCTCTGACTTAAAGGGATAGTGCACCCAAAAATGAAAATTCAGCCATTATCTACTCACCCTCATGCTGAGGAAGGCTGTGGTGAAGTTTTAGAGTCCTCACA